TTAATTGGGTTTGTGGTAGCATGTTAAAGGTTGGCCTGATTTTTTGTAACCCAGCAGTAGTCTCGGGTGGCCAGGCTGCTCTAAAAAGGCTTTTTGCCTTGCAATCTCTTCCTACGTTCCGTTCCTTGCAATTGATTCCCTTTTCCTTTTTAAGACGAAACCAAGTTAAAACTGTGGAATATCACCAACAAGAATGTGCTGCACCTTCCCACCATCTTCCATCATTTGCCACATTTGCTGTCAAAGGAGAACAGTCTGCAGCCAGCCGTGCATGTGGGACAGGGGCGCACTGGAGGTAAATGGGAGCTAGTGCTGCTTCTGGTGCTCTTCCTCACCTTAGTGCCTCTCCCTCCCCTTTCCTCCGGGCCTGGCTGTGGTACAGAGATGAGCAGGACTGGAGGAATGGCTGCATGTGTCATGCAAGCTTTCTTGGTGTCGTGGCACGTGGGGTGGGTAAGCCATGTCACGTCTGCAAGTCTACAGGGGAGTGCTGTCTGTGCTCTTCACTGGCACTAAAATATTCTTGATGCTTCTGCCAGATGTTTTTTGCTGCTTTCCATCTCCAGAGTGCTCTAGATTTTGCCTGGAAGGTGGTCAGATGAAAGCACAGTTTGCAGGGTGCTTCATGGAGACTCTGACCCAAGACAGATCCCATCTGGAGTAGGACTTTGGTTACTAAATGATTCCACGCCCTGCTCCCAAATCCCAACCCAAAGCCAAAGACCTGACTTATCCCTCCTAAACTGAGGTGCTTCTGGACATGGCATGGGTGAGGAGAACAAGAGTGATCTTGAAGTTGCCATTCACAGACTGAAAAGACACCTAGGAGGGGGAGAGTTTACGGGTGTTTCCTTAGGCATCGGTCTTCAAGGGAGAGAAGAAACAGTTTCTCTGACTGCCATGGGTGCCCTGCCAGCCTGGTGCACTGGGGTGCTGCTGGTATGGTACTGGTCTGGGGGACAGGAGTATGGGAACCCTGTGTAGCCCAGGAATCTGTCAAACTGCTGATCATTGCTGGTTTTTAGTGACAGAATGTGGCACCAAGCAGGTGAATCATGAGGCGGTCATGGGAGCGGAGCAAAGTGTCTTGTCCCCGCACAGCCCCCTCTCTAAAATCTCTCCTTGGCCTTGGACAGTGTCCGTCGTGATGGGAATCCCCAGCGTGAAGCGGGAGGTGCATTCCTACCTCACCGACACCCTCAACTCCCTCATCTCAGAGCTCACTCAGCAGGAGAAGGAGGACTCCGTCATCGTTGTCCTCATCGCCGAGGTAGGACAACTTTCCCTGTTTATCCCGTTTCCTTGGCCCCCATCCCACCGTCTGCCAGACTCGGTGCTGAACAGGGCGCCTGCCCGCCTGGCGCCAGCTCTGCCGTTTGCCGGGGCGGGTAAGCCCAGCCTTGGGCTGCTGTCCGACCAGGATCGTTACCTGCGTCCTGCGCGGAATGAGACACCGGTTGGGCTAGAGGGTCAGGACACGAGCAGTCAGACATGTCGCGGTAGCAGCTGCCAGTGCGGCATGTGCATTTATCTTTCTGGTCTCAATCATGCCGGCTCTTGCAGGGTGCTTGACTGGTTATTCCCAAAAGGTGCTGGAGCAGCCCCGTGGCCATGTCTAGGGTGGCTCTCAGACCCAGTCCTGAAGCAGCTTCGTGTCTCCGTGTACCTGCAAGGCAGCACTGACTCCTCGAAAGCCAAGAGCCTGCTGATTTGGAGCTGAAACTAATATGCCTCTTCGTACTGGTGTCTGAAGCCCAGAATCAGTGGCTGAATCCAGGGGCTAAAGAGCCTTGATACGTTAATCCGCAAGAGCTGCTTTTATCTATGGGTTTAGATGGTTATTTTTCTCCATGGCTTTCCCCTCAGGATTATTTTCTTGAGCTTGAAGTGCATTTGTCTTAATTTCCAGAAATCCGGTGAGAAAGATAAACCTCAGTGGCATGTTACTGGGAGTGGAACAAAGATAAATGTCTAAGTTTGCTGCCTGTTTACCCATAATTTGACGTTTTGAGTAGCATTTGGCCTTTGGGTCTCTGGCTGGTATTTCGTACAAGAAGGTGTGCACAGATGGGTGCAGCCCAAAGTGCCCGGGATGAGGTTCAGTCCTGACCGTCATTTCCCTTTGAGCCAGGACAGGTTCGATGACTGTTTTCACAGCAGGTGAGTTAAAGCATGAGAGGTTTTAAGCAACTTGACAAAAAACATCTCCTGTTTTGGCCTGCAGTAATTTATTTTTTTCTTAGTTGACTGGAAAGCAGCGTGCATGCTGCAATGGCAGCACCTGACTTTCCATGTGTACGTGTGACGAGGGAAATGAACAACAAAGAAATTAATTCTGATACCGTGAAGTGCAGGAGCACGCATGTCATATATCCCAGTAGCAGCAATGGTGGTTGTTTGCAGATCACCACTGTCGCTGTTCTTTCTTGCTGACACAACATCCTCCTTCCGTGCCAGTGTCAGCCACCGCTGTGCCCGCTCTGCCTCTTCCCAGACAAAGCGTTCTCGGTGTGGTGCTGCTTGTTAGGGCTCCTCAGGCACGGGATGAAGAGGAAATAGTGGAGAGGGTGGTATGGACCTGGAGTGGACACTGGGTAATTTGCAGACTCGGGAGAACGAGTGGAACAACGCAAAGTCCTTTTTGGGGTGGGGACTTCTCATTTCCGAGTGCCACCGCTAACCATGGTGGGTATCGTCCGCGGCGGCTGGGCTGCCTGGGAGAGCCGGGGGCTCCTCGGGTGGCGGAGGGGAGCCCTGGGACCAGCTGATCGGCTCAGCTGCTGCCAACCCACTGTTTTGGTGGTGGCCAGGTGCTCTGGAGCAGAGCTGTGTGTTTGCTCCCAAAGCCAGGAGCATCTTTCCTGCCTTTGTTTTTCCCATTACTCTTTTCTTGGCAGCGCCAGGGTAAGAAATCAGTCCAGCACTGAGAGCCTGAGCTCTTGTTTGGGAAAGGGACCTTTTTCCTCTTGAGAAAACCCTCTCTTGTCACCATTCCAGCATGGAAGCACTGGCCTCAGCTTGTGACACACATCCCTGACGTCTCACTTCTCACCTCCCCCCTGGTGCCGAGCGGCACCCGGCTTCTGCGATGCTGCATCTGCAGATCCACCCGGGACGCGCAATCCCGTGATCCATCCAATCTCCCAAAACAATGCCGCCACCAGGAAACAGGCATAATTTTTGCTCCTGGGTCTCCTGCCCTTTGTTCTTGGATTTTGTTTTCCCGGTCGCTGTGCAGATGGTTTCTGTCCGGTGCCTGTCCCTGTGTTTGCATTTATCTCGCCTGCAGATAGCAGCGTGCGGCACTGCTGACCTTTGCCTCCCAACTGTTACGGGTTGCCGGGTTGATTGTGGGAACAAACTGTTGTTTCAGGAAGAAAAACGTCAAAATGAACCTGAAATGAAAAATGCATGCTTATAAATAAACTTTTTTTTTTCACGAAAGGGGTGGAGATCCTTTTCTGCCAAGAGTATTTGCTTGGATGAAAGCCAGCGGGTAGAGAGAAAAAAAATAAATAGCTCAGACATTAACACTTTGTGCAGACACTCGGTGCTGGCAGGGGCAGAAGTGCCAGGAGAACACGTGGGGAAGACGTGCAGGGTCTTGAGTCCTTTGGGGTGTTTTTTGGTATGTGATGCCTTTGGTTAATGCCGGCCGTAAAGGAGGACTCCCAGGAATCCGTCAGCACGGGGAGAACGGATAAGCTGGGTAAAAGGAGACGCGAAGGTGGTACGGAGGTGCTGACAGTACCCCTGGGGTGTGTTGAAGGTGATTTCTGAGCCACGGGGGGCACAGGCTGAGGCTGAAGGGTCTAACACAGCTTATCTTTTGTTTTCAGACAGATCCGCAGTACACAGCCGGCGTGGCAGAAAATATCAAAAACTTGTAAGCACTTCCAAATCACTACGGCGGTACGGTCTGTGCCTGTAGCGAGGCCAGGGAACAGCGTCATTAAGGAGAAAATACACGCTTTTATGCTTCCCTTTTGTGTTTTTTTCATTGTTTGGGTGTTTTTTCTGTTCTTAAACTCCGGGCTCTTTGCTATTGCTACTTCCACTGTCTGCTTGTTCTAAAATGCATCCCGTGTGTAGCTTCCATTAGGCTGCTTTGTGCTTGCAGTATTTAACACAGGCGGTCATGCCGTTTCATTTTGCTCTTTCTGTCCTGTGGCGTTGCGAGAAGATGGATTATTTACATTTCCAGTGATCCTGGCAATTGTTTCTGTGTCTAGTGCAGCCCTCTACCTGCTCTGCCGAGTCAGAGCAACGGAGCAGTGTGGGAAGCACACCCAAATGCTCCTGCCTTATTTTGCTTTAAAATCCATGATCCGTTTTTCTTCCCGCTCCAGCCTGTTTGTTGTTCTAGGCGTTAGTTACATTTGTCTCTCACGCTAGCTGCTATTTATGTTCCGGAGTCTTAGTGGCTTTTGCAGCCTCCTGTGTGGCTGGTTTGGTGGGTTATTAACCATGAGCCGATCCAGGCGTTAACAGCATCAGATCTCAGAGGCAAAAGAAAAAGGTGGTGAGAGAGGAGGCTGTGACTCCCATCCAGCCCCTGCGATTGCGTGTTTCCAAAGGATCGCAGTCGCCATAGGAAGGAGGTGCAAAAGGGCAGCACGTCCTCCCGGCTCCCCGTGTTCCCGAGCCAATGATGGGAGAGGGGCTGGGACGTGCGCGGGAGGGTTGTGTTCCCGGGTACTTGCAGAAGAGCTGAAACAGAGCCCTCCATCTTGCTGAGCAGGAGCTGGCAGGGCTCCCTCCTTCTGCCTGCTGGCAGGAGGACGCACTTATCGGGGGATAATGGACTGATTGTCCGATGGATCCTGATGAAATTACTGGGCGCTGCTGCAGAGAGTGCCTCTGCGTAGAAGGCCCGAAACTCTAATTGACTTAACGATTTGATTTCTCACCGTTCCGTTCTCTGGTGCCTCCTACCCCTCCTCAATTCACTGAAATTATTTTTCTTCCAAATTGGATTGAGGTGGTGTGGGGCCAGGGCAGGCTGAGCTCATATTGCAGGAGGGAGAAAGCCGCTGCTGCTTCGGTACAGGGTTTGTCAGCTCAGTGAGAAGCTTCTGTTTTGCTGCTGCCTGAGGAAGGGGAGAGTTGAAAATGTTCGCTGAAAATCTTGCCAGTCCCAAGAAGGGAAAAATAAGTGAGAAGTTTTTGGCAATCATCTCGTTGCTTTGTCTTCTTCTGCCCTATCTCCCGTCCTCCAGGCTCTGCACAAACAGAGGAAATCAGCCTTGCACCAAATGTTCTCAAAAAGGGCAGTATAAAAATAACTGCTTTTCCTGCTTATCTCTCACAGTTACAGTAACCTCTGGGTATTGCTTGCAAGGCCGTTGTAGGTACCTATTTTTCGAATGGGTGACATTTTTCTTCTGTTTCAGTTTGACTCTTTAAAGGCTTCTTAACCACATTATAGTGAAAATAGGTGCTGATTTTATCAGCGTAAGGGAACTAGGTAGAATTCCGGCTGGCTGTCCTAACTACAGCACAGCAGTTTTTTAGGTAACTTATCAGAAATGCATAACATAATCTCTGCAAAATGGCTTTTAATTACTGATGCATTTAGAAAATCTCTAAATGCCAGTAATGCCAGCAAGTCCTTTCTTTGGTGCTCCAGTCTGCAGGTCCGTTTAATCCTGGAGAGAGTACACGGTGCTCACGGCTGGTCTGTAAAGCTGACCCGTGTGTGTGTGTGTGTGGGAGGGAGGAGGGATGCTGGGTGGGGGGAGCATGCAAATATGAGGCTATTAGGGACTGTGGGAGGGAGAAAGCAGATTTAAAACTCCATGGCAGTCCCTGCTGATGTCCTTTGGTGAGGCCTGGAAGTGCACTAGCTGCTGGGGAAGTTTTCTCTTAGAGGCTGTAGTTTTTTGTTTGGTTCTATGGCTCTCTGTTTACCCAGCGATTTGGTCTCTGAAATGGTGTGTCAGACGTGGAGGTATTTGTTTACTGCTGCTTTTCTCCCTCAGATTCCCAAAGGAAATACACTCAGGTCTCCTGGAGGTAATTTCCCCATCTCCGCATTTCTATCCTGATTTCTCCCACCTGCGGGAATCCTTTGGAGACCCCAAGGAAAGAGTCAGGTAAGAATCAATGAGCTTAAAACCAAGAAAGCCCTGAATTAAGTAACTGCAGCATCTCCCCTCGTGACTCCAGCAGGGAAAGCTCTTCTGCAGGGCCAGGTGAGGCCCTTGAACTTGCTTTGTCCAAGAGCTGGAAGGACGTGAGGGGGGGGGGGTTATGGACTGGCACCAGCTTTGCAGGGCTTGCCTTGTGCTGCAGCGTTTCCATCACCAAGCGAGAGGGTCGTGTTAGCCCAAATGATGTTCGTTTTGGAAGTCCATGAGTTTTCCAGTAACTCTTAGCTGACCAGTTTGAGACCAAAATGGAGAGGCCGTATGCTGTACCCTCATCCAATAGCTATGTCACCTTCCCACCTTACACCCAGCCTCGGCTGGCTCCCCCGAGCAGCCCGGTATCCCAGGAGAGATCAGCACTGCCATCATGTCTGTCTTTTGCAGGTGGAGGACAAAGCAGAACCTCGACTACTGCTTTTTAATGATGTATGCCCAGTCCAAAGGCATATATTACGTGCAGGTGGGTTTGGTACTGGAGGCGGAGGGGAGATGAGTGACCTGTGGGTTCACTGTGGCTCGTACCCAGCTGAGAGGGGGCAAAGAGCATGTCCAGTTGTGTGCCGCAGCATAGTGGGAGTGGGTTTTTTTGAACCAGGCATAGGTTCAAAAGCTGGGTTTGTGCGATGCTTTGGACTTGGAGACCTCCCGCCTAGGGAGGGCAGGAATCCTTGTTTCGTTTACCTGTTAGATTGGGTGAGAAAAATCTGCTTGGAGCATCTTCTAAAATAAACTAGGTCTGTGCCAAAGCTTTTCTCCAGTCTACGGTGTGATTGCTCTGCACGGAGAGGCTCTTACTGGAACCTGGATGGGTCACTGGCACTGAGTGTCCTTTCCTCTTGCAGCTGGAGGATGATATTGTGGCCAAACCAAACTATCTCAGCACGATGAAGAACTTTGCCTTGCAGCAGCCCTCCGAGGAGTGGATGATCCTGGAGTTTTCTCAGCTGGGGTTTATTGGTAACGTCCTTCCCCGCTCACCCCAGTCCCGTCAGGCACGGGCACAAGTGCCTGCTGGTTCTTGCAAGCACTTATGCTCTTGGGCCAACTTGTCCCCTTGAGATGGTAAAATACTTGGACTTGATCCCTCCCTATTTTTGCAGTGACCCTTGTGTTTGCACAGGGGAGAAAGATCCTCACAGCTGGTACTGGTGATATTCGCTTTTAATAAAAATAAACCTGGTCGGTGGCCCAGCTGACAGCCAAACAGCTTGGACATGACCAGTAGCTTTTAGGCTGGATGGGATCTGGAGTTGCCTAAGAGAGTGCAAAAGGAAGTTTACATCAGCACAGAACTATTTTGGGAACGGCAGTACATGGTTGCAGTAGCAGCTTGATCTGTTATTTTGGATACTGGTTTGACTGGCTTAAAACTTGTAGTTTTTGGGGCAGGAAATGGTCTGTCCTGCAGCTGGCTGAATGTTTTTCATCCTTATGTCTCCCTGCTGAATGGAAGAGTTTTAGACCTTTTGATACTGTGGTGACCTGTGAGACACTAATGCTTTCTAATTCTGGGATGAGTATTAAATCTGGAACTGTATTAGCAATGCCAGAAGTACTGGTACATAAACCAGAGCTGCATGCTATTTCTCTTACGTAGAGAGATGGACACATCCAACCTGCACAGCCCAGTCTCCCAGGTTTTTTCTTCCCTGCCCTGAATCTTGATCGTTTCATACCGTAGCTGCTTCCTCTTCTCTCTTTCTTTGTGCTGTAGGAAAAATGTTCAAGTCTCTGGATCTGAGCTTGATCGTGGAGTTCATCCTGATGTTCTATAAGGACAAACCCATTGACTGGCTGCTGGATCACATCCTTTGGGTGAAAGTCTGCAACCCTGAAAAGGATGCAGTACGTAAACAACTAAACAACCTCTGTTGAAGGGAAACCTTCTGTTGTGGGTGGGCCAATGTACGCTTGATCTCTGTCTCCAGAGGATCGTTTCTGTGAGCTCTGGTGCTAACCAACGGCACCGAACCGTGCCGTCCCTGTGGAGTGTGCCACAGGGTGTCCTTGTGGATTGTGTAAGCAAAGACCTGGGAGTTCAGGCTTTTGTAGTCTGCAGCTGCCAGAAAAGGCATTATTTCTGCGTCTGAGCACTAACAGGGTATTCCTCCTCCCTTCCTCGTGGAGAGTTGCTGTTCCTCATTCTTCTGTGTTGTTTTTCATTCCGGTGTGCTTCTCTCCCTGAAGCCCTTGCCCGCTCGCTGACTGTAACCCCAGAATAACCCTTTGGCTCGGGGCTTGTGTGCCGTACCCGCCTGGAGCACACACGCAGACTGCCCAAAGAGCTCACCCCAGATGACCCAAGAGCAAGCCTGCCGTGCGCAGTGTGCCAAAATGAAGCCAGAGCATGCAAAGCTCTTGTCGGGGTTCCTAGGAGGATGTGGAGAGGTGAAATGGGATCTATTCTCATGCTGCTGTCTCACTGTCGGAGCCGTGTCTGCACGAGGCCTCGCAGACGGCAGCACAGAAGCTCCCGTGCCCTGCGGAGGTCGTGTTTTAACTCCCATCGGCAGCAGCAGCGAGGGCCTGAAGCGAGTGGGAAGGGCAGAGGAGGAGTGTGCGTGGCAGCAAATGTAAGATGAGCTCACCACCAGATACTCTCCCGTCTCCTCTCTGAACATATTGTATTTACTCGTACGCTCCTTCGCCCTCCTCCCTCGGCGGAGAATGAGCAGCGGAGTCCCTGTGCAGAGCTTGAAGCCAGTCACTTAGGACAGACCCCATGGCCACAGCTACTTTGTGATGCCAAATGCCAGAGCAAGTGGTCACTCTGGGGATAAATACTGTACTTACGTGTTAGGGGGGACAGGGCAGCCTCAGGGCTCTGCAGAATTGGGGCAGGGATGTGGTTTAATTTGGCTTGATCCCTGGCAGAGGTCAAGACATCCGCTCCAGTCCCCTATGTGCAGCAGGACCAGTCTCAGATGATGTCCATCGTGTCCTCCTGGCAGTCCAAACAATGTGCTCAGGTGTGAGAGAGCAGTCCCCAGGCCTGTCCAACAGCCCCCAGGGTCCTCACAGCTGTGGGCGAAGCCAGGGTGGTGGGACGCTGGGATGGAGCTGTGAAAGTGGCTGCTCTCTGTGCCCCTCCCTTCAAAATCTTCAGCTTGAGCATTGATTAAATGCAGATCCTGCTGCGCAGGATCATCTCTGTAGCTCATCCTCACTCATCTTCTCCTACCTGACAGAGCCAAGGTTTTCCCAGGGGAAACTGCAGACCTCTTAAATGTGTTGCCTTTTTAAAAATTAACCTACTTTCTGTGTGGATTTCTGGCTCCTTTCCCCCACTGTTTGCATGATTAACTCTGCACAGTGCCCTGTCAAACATGACTTTCCCTTCTAAATCCCACTGTGCAGAATCAAATTGGTAGTGGGGAGGATTTGTCTTTTTGATTGAAAGTTTGTTTGACCTGAGCTTTTGGTAAGTGCTTTGCCTGCTCTGGATATATTCTGCTCTTTCTTTTTTAACTAATTTTAGATTTACCTGGGGTAGAGCTGTGTGAAAGGATGACCTTGTTACCACCAACTGAGCCATTCCCCCTCCTGTCTCGACTGAGACAATGCTGCTTTCAGCAAATGCTTCTTCAGCAGAAGGGGAAAAGGGGAGAAAGAGACATCAGGGGATGCTGTAGCTGCCTCTGTTCACTTTCCTCCTCCTCTCCCCATCCAGAGTGAGATCAGACCTGATGGCATTGTGTCTGGGGTTGCTGGCAATGAGTAGAGTTGCTCCCATTAGCATGGCTAGTTTTAATTTTCTAATGTAATGTGAGCTGGATTCATGGATTATCTCCTCTGCAGCTCCCAGGGGTCATGCCTGGAATTTCCCAGCTCTTGGCATGGTGGCGGTGGCCCGTGCAGGCAGCCCATCGTGGGGGCTCGGTGTGGCCGAGTGACGCAGCTCCCAGCAGCGGGATTTCTGCTGGGGTTGCTCTTGGGTGGGAGGTTGCTAGAGCAGATGGTGGTAGGGGTGTGCATGCATTTCTTTTCTTGGAAAAATCAAAAGTCGGAAAACAAATACCCTCTCCCTCCAGTTTTTAACACTATATTTTTGTCCTGCTCCGCCAAACTGAGAGAAATGAGCTATTTTTAAAATTTGAGCTCTTGTCTCCACACTCTCAGTGTTTTTCCCCTTTTTCCTTTGTTCCTTCTCCATTATCTCTCTCCCTCCACCCTATGGAAAATCACTGGCTGGAGCAGAGTTGCATCTCCAAGTTTATTTACACGGTGGGATGGGTGTGCAACTGTCGCTCAGACAGTGGCACATGCCTTAGACTTGCCCAACAACACCTGCCAACAAACTGCAGACTCTGCCCATCTGCTACCTGTTCACTTAGTCTCTGAATCATCCCAGAACTTACTGCACCTTCGGACACCAGCGCTCCCGAGCTCTTGAGTTGTAGGAAAAAGGCTTTCCTGATAAGCCAATGGAAAAAGAAACAAAATTATCTGGCTGTCCCTACCTGACAGCACCCAGAGGAGATGTGCTCAGTGTTTGCTAAGCTACGCTTGGCAAGGAGACATTTGGCACTTAAACCTGGGTGCTCCAGCTGCCCAGCAGAGCCTGGTGGGTGACCGACCAAAAGTCATGGTCACATTCCTCCAGATTGCAGTTAAAAGCCCTCTTGCCAGATTAAAGTCAGAATAACACAGAAAGGCACGGAGGTGGAGGGGCAGGGATGTTTATCGCTCCTCATGCCCTTGGCCATTCCTCCCATGGGGCACAGTTGTCCGTGGAGGTTTAAACCTGGGGTTCTGCGGGATTGTCTTGTTTCAGAAACACTGTGACAGGCAGAAGGCAAACCTGAGGATCCGCTTCAAGCCCTCGCTCTTCCAGCATGTGGGAACCCACTCGTCTTTGGCTGGGAAGATACAGAAGCTGAAGGTGGGTACCAGCTGTGTGTCCAAGCTGCAGACAGCTTTTCTGCCAGGCCTGGCCTGCAGGCACCCGGGAACTGGCTGCTTTTGGGGTGGGGACATCAGTGACAGTAACTGGTGGGATGGTGGCAGCTGGATTTCTGTGCAGTGGTGGTTTTATTCTGAATTACAGTGAGCTCATGTAGCTCCTACTTCTCAGCATGGCAGTGACATGTACCAAGAGTCACTGCAAGCTTTTACGCCTTGGTGCTGATCCTGGCCATCCATTCAGAATGCCAAACCATGGTTCGGGAAAGTGATTTTGAAGCATCTACTGAAAAACCCTGGAGAGATGACTCCTGGATTGGTCTGACTTCCTTCCCACCTCCCCCCTTATTCCTGGGATTTGCTGATAGACAAACTAGAGCTTGCTGTGTAAGCTCTAGTTTGTAGGTATTTAAACACCAACAAAATCAAGCTTCGTACAGGTAGATGTGCAGGACTCATAGACGTGCATCCCTGGGCTCTGCTCAGTCCTGTGTCTGTCCAATCTCCAGGTAAATGGATGGTGTAATCTGGTTTGTATCATGGTGCAGTGCCTCTGGCCGTGTAATCCAGTCATTTTATGCTATCAGCTTCCCAGCCACCTTCTTCTCAGGTGTAAGGACTGTTTGCAGAGCTCCTGGGGCAGGGACATGCATTGGGGGATGCTTGGACAATGAAAGGCTCTTTGGTGCTGCATGAGAGTGCAGAGCAGTGGTGCTTCTCTGTGCTGCCTCTCCTGAAGTTAAGTCCTTGGATCCAGCCACACATTGCCCTGTCTGGGGCCTTCACCAGATCACTTCCACCCCTCTTCCTTCTGCACTGTGCAATCAAAAGCTTTTAATGTGCAGTGCCTTGTTGCTGGGACCGCCGTTCCTCAGAGACGAGAGCGGCTCATGACCCTTTTCTGCCCTTTTGCTTTGTGCCCACCAAGGACAAGGACTTCGGCAAGCAAGCCTTGCGGAAGGAGCACGTCAACCCTCCTGCGGAGGTGAGCACCAGCCTGAAAACCTACCAGCACTTCACCTTGGAGAAGGCTTACCTGCGGGAGGACTTCTTCTGGGCCTTCACTCCCACTGCCGGAGACTTCATCAGATTCAGATTCTTCAAACCGCTCCGCATCGAAAGGCCAGTGCCTGGGAGGGGTCGGTGAGGGAGAATGTGGGGACAGCCTGGAGCATGTGGATACCCTTTCCTTTTGCTCTTCTGGCTCGTGTTGAATTTCTTGCCTGTCTCCTGGTTGGCTGCCCAGGAGGACAGAGTGGTGCCCTTCCAGGGGGAAGATTACTTGACCCTTTTTTAGTTAAGGTCATGTTTGCCAGAGCCCTTTGCTTTCCTGCTCTTGTGAGCAATCCACACTTTAGCTAATCAGGTGCAGGAGGTCTCCTTCCAAACCATGTGCCCGTGGGCTTTTTGGGAAGGAAGGTGCCTGATAGACTGAGCTGTTTGATGGTTCAGCTGGGGTGAAAGCCATCATGTGCCCCCTCACTCAGTGTGGGTTTCCATGGCTTTGGTCTCTGTCACAGGTTCTTCTTCCGCAGCGGCAACATCGAGCACCCAGAAGACAAACTCTTCAATACGACTGTGGAGGTTTTGCCATTTGACGTAAGTGTTTTATTGAGAATTGAGATGGGGATGGAGCGAGAAGCAAAAGAGGTTTGAGAGAAGGGACCTGCTTAAAGCCGTCAGGAAAATATCACTCAGGTGCCTTTGAGAGGTGCTGGCTTAGTGCCAGAGGGTCATGCCTGGTGTGGTAGCACCTCACTACGGGAATCATCCATGCCTGTAGAGGGGATGCTCAGATGGATGGGACAGCTGCAAAGGAGGGGATGGAGCCAGCATGGTGCAGTGGAAGCTTCAGCATGAGGGCAGCAAATGTCCTCTTGGTTTTGAGGCATGAGGCTTGGGGTGCCAGGCAGGGGGACGAGATGCCAAGGGCTGCTGGGGAAGGCATCTCCGGGGTTGCTGCTGTTGTTTGGGGCTTTTAGATGGCTTTTACCACTGGCCTTGTGCAGATCTCCTCTCCTTCCTGCAGAGCCTGCAGTCGGATAAGGAAGCCTTGCAGGAGGGAAGAGGCACAGCTGTCAAATACCGCAGGACACCGGATGGCTACATCCAGATAGGTACAGCAGGGTGTGGGGTGGTAAACTGCCCGCTGGGGTTGATAGCACAGCCCCTATCCTCACCTTGAAATGAATCGAGCCCCTTAGTGCTGTTTGCTTGGCAAGGAGTAATTTCTGCTCACCAGGAGCCAGGCAGGAACAAGATTTGTCACCGTCTCCTCTCCTCCCTTGCCCTCCCTCCTCTCTTAGATGAGGTATCCTCTTCGGGTAGTGGTCTGTCCTATGTTTTTACCTCTGCTCAGAGCTGAGACCAAATTATTCAGATTATCTATTTGCCTAACCTGGTCTTAAAAACCTCCACAGCGGGTGGTTTTGCACTCTCCCTCCACAGCCTGTCTCGGTACTCACACCACTTGTGGCTTGGACTTTGTCTCCTGCCACCCGAGCTTGTTTTAGAGCTTGTCCTGCCTTTGGACAAGAAAAAGTGACTGCAGCATACAGGGACCCACTGGTGCTTGGTAAAGCCCTGGTTTCTCTGCTAAGACTCCTTTCTTTTTTTTAAATAGAGAAATAAAAGAAAAAGGCCCTGGCATGCATAGCTTTTTGCCATTTTAACATTCCTCTGCATGCTGTCTGGTTTCTCCTAGTTACATTTTTAAAAAAAAAAAAAAAATCACACCCAAAAAATGGGACACGGCAACAGGCTGAGCCCTTGCTAGCACTATGGATATAAAACTTGCTGCCATGGCATGGGTCCTGAGCCGACATTTCTCTCTTTCAAGACAGTGCTCCTGTCAGGCCACGCTGCCCACCCTTTCATACATCCAAATATTCCCTATTTTGTTTTGTTTAGCGTGGGGTTTTTTTATTATTATTATTCCCCTAAGTGTACTGTTTTGACATCCATGCTGCTGGGTCTCAGCCCGTCTCCCCCCGCCGGGGAGCTGCGGGCAGGGGGTGCCTCGGCCGCTCGCGGCCCCGGGAGGGGACGGCTGCCGGGGACTGCCCCAGCATCCCCCACACACTTTCTCCACCAGGCTCCTTCTCCAAGGGCGTCGCAGAGGGTGAGGTGGACACGTCGT